AAGGAAAACGAGAGGGGAAAAGGGAGGGTGGGAGCAAAAATAAAAACAGAAAAGAGGAAACAGATACAAACAGACAGACAAACAATGAGAAGACAGAAAGAGAAAGTGACAGAAAGGCGAAAAGGAAAAGAGAGAAAGCAAAAAAAGACAAAAGCTTTATGAAGAGTTAGTATTCGAGTATAAAATGAATAAAATTTACTCAAGACATTCCTTCTCAGGACACCATAACTATGTTTCAGATGCCTGAAAAAGTGAAAGCATTCCAGGGAAACATAATATAATTTCCTGTGCTTGTTGATGAAGATTAATAGAGCAGAGGGAAACCTGTCAAAGGAAATAATAAATTATAGCTGCCTGGAAACGAAAACAAATAGCAGCCGGATAACCACCATGGAAACAGAAAACACTACGATGGCAGTATGCTACTGGCCTCTTTATCTCTCCCTCAGGAAGAGTAGAAATCCAATGCATAATTCACCGCCTTTAGTGTGCCCAACCACACAGCAGTGTAACAAGAAATAGATTTCCCATATGAAATGGCTTACCTCTAGAGACTATTCAAAGCATTCACAGTTAAGCGGACGCATATATACATTATGTATAAATTATGAGATTCAAAAGTAATAGTAGGCAAAGTCATGAGAGGTCAGAGAGGCAATTAGAGAGTTTCAAGTGCCATGATTTCAACTTTCATAGAGTATAGAGTTAATTTTTGTAAGAAAACCCAAAGCAAGCAAAGCAATCATCAATCTTTAATGAGATTACTAAAAATGAAATATTGGACAAATCAAATCATTACGATGCTTACAGTAGTGAGACTGTTTGCTTTTGCCATAGTTCTAGTACTCAGACCTTCATTGTTAATTAATTATATAATTCGTTTGGCTGTTAGAGCAAAATAAGTGAGAAGTGGCCTCAAATAGTGCCTTTACTCTATTTGTTTTAAATCTTAAAGACCCGATGTCGGATATAATATTACTTTGGACCTTTTGATAATAATAGGCCTACTGAATTCAAATATTAAATATAAGTTCAATACATAATGAAGAAAATACAATCTTCTCATTTTTCTAAACAACAGTTCATTGAATTCGAAATTTGTCAGTAAAATCTTAAATCTTTTAAAATGTAATGGTACAAAACTACATTACAAAATTTCATGTGAGTTTTAAAACTCTGCTTAGCTCCGAATCAAATTCTTCAATTATAGATTTACCCACAGTATAAAAAGTAATGATGATATTGCTACATTATATCATTTTATTGTCTCAGAAATGACGGAGACTATTTTGTACTTTTAACAATAAGAAAGAAAAGAAAAACATAATTAAAATTCAAGGAAACATCAAGAATTGTTGAAACTAAACTGAAGGCAAGTTTCATGAGACAATGACATTGGCAAGCCTTCAGCACTTTTACACATTTTTCTCAGTAAATCATACTTTTAGTGTAGGTGTTTTACACCCCTACCAGCACAATTTAGATCAATTTTATTGGAAGCAGTTTTTAACCTCTCTGTCACGACCAAACCAGACTCAGAGGGATACAGCATCCCTGCAAAAAGACATGGGATATCTTTCAAAGATAAAGAAGAAGAAAAAACGGGACAGCTGGCACAGTTCAAAGGATGTGTGATTTCATATATTTTGTATTCGACCAGTCCGTGTATACCGTATATACCTCTGATTTGAGTTAGTATTGATATTATCCCTCATCATAATCTCGTAATTAAATATTTTTAGCTCTTTGGTATAGACAGAGATGCTGGAATTATAATTTCCTGTGTCGTCACAAAACAGTAAAAACTGTAAGCCCCATGGAAATCAGATTCATTCAGTGCCTAAATCAGATTTAGAACTAGAATATCTCGCAGGAATACGAGAGGCAAAAGAGGACAAAACAGAAGTCAGTGCTGATAGAATTAGAATGATTTACTTTCCATGACAAAGATGAAGGCTTATAGTGCGTAGCCTGGACTTGATGAGGTGCATTATATTTTTTTAGAGTGCATGATTGGATTTTAGTAGGCTAGATCTAGATTCTAGATATCTGAATCTAATCTAGATTCTAGATTCTAGATATCTAAATCTAGAATCTAGATCTAGATCTAGAATAGTAAAAATCAGAAAGAACAATATTCAGCAAGAAGCGGCTTACATTTGTCCTAGTCGACGAGCGCGTGTAAGAGTATGCACTAAAATGTCTAAAATACTAAAACCTACGAGTACCCAAGCCTAAACTAGATCTAGAACCTAATTCGACCTACGCCTACTCACTACACTACACGCACTGTTGACTAGATCTAGATTTAGATATCTAGATTCTAGATCTAGATCTAGAGCTAGATCTATATCTAGATATAGATCTAGATCTAGATATAGATATATCGTGAGATAGGCACTCATCAGCACTAGTGACTAGAGTCTAGACTTGACTTAGTTAATTAATAATTAGGCCTATTTGCTACTCACCAACTCGACCGAAGTTACATCCTTCAGGTGGACGGCTTCTTGGAGCGTCTTTGGTGGGTTTTCTGTTAAATAAATCCATTCGTCACTTAGAACCACAAATTTAAAGGCCTTATTTTCCTTCTCCGATACAATGATGCAGGATTCGTATCCTCGTACCCGCTCGAATGCTTCTTCGGAGATGCTGCGCTTCAGAAAGCTTTCGAACTTACTGTTCTTTTTCCCAATCTCTGCATTCCCGCTTCCCCACGCCATACAGACATTAGTGTCTTTTTCTCACCGTCTGACCCCACACAAAGAACAGAAGAATATTCTTCATGGACGTAGATAACTTGCTAACTGTAACTGCACCAGTGCGCGAATTGCCGTTACAGAAGCCATTCCTCTCCTCTCGTAGCTACCGTACACAAACAATGCTCCAGATTTTTGCTTCCACCAGTCCCGCGACCACCTCAGCCAATAGGAACACCGAAAGATCGATAAGTTCAAAAGTTGGTGGAGCACTCTCCCGCAGCGAAAGGAAAACAATTAATAACTTCGTTTCCTAAGATGGCACAAAATTATTACGACTGCAACACATTTATTTGGTTGATAGCAAAATAAAATCTCTACATTATCTTATTTTCTAAAGATGCTTCTATGTCTAGCCAGAGGACTGAAAAGAATACTGAGATTTTTTTTACCGAACTTAATAAAAATAACAAAAATACATGAAGAAAATTCTGTAAAACGTCTACTTTACGCCAAAGATTCGAGTGCTTTACGCATAGGACAATAATTAAATCTAGATTAAAGAATCTAAATCTATCTTTAGTATAACAACAATATTGACTAATTAGTTCAGGCTTACTCTTGAATTTTCTTGGGAAGATTAAAAATGAAAAAAATGTCTAGGGGTAATGCTGTGTGTGTGTCTGTGTGTGTGTGTGTGTGTGTGTGTGTGTGTGTGTGTGT